TGCGTGTCCAGGAACGCAGTGGAATATTCTGGACTCCTTTCTCAGGTTTGGCTCCAGTATATTGCATAAATGCAAAAAAGACTAATAGGCCATATGCCTAACAATAAATATTCAATAACGTGTGTCCACCAAAGTGTTTTTAGCCTGCTGAAAAATGTCAGGCGCTCTTCTTAAAACGACCAGCTGGTGGTGCTTGAGAATGCTTTGGTGGCACAGCGTTTTTCCAGCTCTCGATTTGGTTGTTATGATGTGGAATATCCACGGCAGTACATTTTGAAGAATATTACTAAATATAAAAATGCAGTAACCAGCAATGTTAGCTTCTCTATTGTTGGGCCTCATTCATGAAACATTCGTAAATATATGAGTAAATTCTGAGTAATTTGCGCGTAAAACAGACCTTCCTGAAAACTCTCCTCCGAATTCACAAACGCTTTGTAAACGTCCGATTTGATAGTTAAACATGTGTATGTCAATGAATTCCAATCATTCGTAAATAGGGCGCTCGTGCACGCTCATTCACAATTAGCATAATCCCGCCTATGAATTACAGCTACGCAAATTGCGTGTCCAGGAACGCAGTGGAATATTCTGGACTCCTTTCTCAGGTTTGGCTCCAGTATATTGCATAAATGCAAAAAAGACTAATAGGCCATATGCCTAACAATAAATATTCAATAACGTGTGTCCACCAAAGTGTTTTTAGCCTGCTGAAAAATGTCAGGCGCTCTTCTTAAAACGACCAGCTGGTGGTGCTTGAGAATGCTTTGGTGGCACAGCGTTTTTCCAGCTCTCGATTTGGTTGTTATGATGTGGAATATCCACGGCAGTACATTTTGAAGAATATTACTAAATATAAAAATGCAGTAACCAGCAATGTTAACTTCTCTATTGTTGTTCAGTTGTACAAGTAGGATGACTGGTCGGAGTAGTATTTGTCCCGCCTCTTGTCCTATTTGTCCACTGATTGGACGGTATGGGTACATCACCACCGTCGAGCTAGGTGGGCGTGGCTTCAGCAACCTGCTCCCGCCTCTTTGCCCATTTTCGATGATCCGGGAGTGACGCGCGGTGACGCACTGCCAAGATGGCGACGGCCGGCTCCGCCCACTTTTGAGCTTCAAAAACGCTCTTCGGAAACCTACGGGTATTCCGGTGCATGTTTTTATACAGTCTATGGTTTTACCCAAAGCTAAACAGTTTATCAACTCTCAGCTAAAAAAAAAACAAAAACAAAAAAACAGATCAAACAAACTTTTTAACAATATTATGATGGCAGTGCATCAAAATTCAGTGTCATCAGTTTGCCAAAAAGAACACTGAACGTTTTACGCACCATTTACACGTGGCAGGGAGCAGGTGTACATTTCTTTGGTCCCAACTAACATTTTGAAAATACGAACACTTTCATGAATCCGAAAATTTACGTCAGGACAGCTTTATGAACGATTTACACAAACATTTATTCCGCTCGTGTTTCATGAATGAGGCCCAATGTATTTTTGCCTATTGCTACAAATATACCTGTGTTACTTCAGACCGGTTTTGTGCTCCAGGGTCACATTTGTCTTTACATGGTTAATCATGGAATTACGGTATATTGATGCTTTTTCTTTTGTGCTAATACACAAAAGAGGATTTTGATTCTAACGAAACCTTTGCTTTTAAAGAGGCTTTTGGTTTCTTTTTCAGACGTAGTAATTATTTGTACATAAGAGTAAGAACTTTCTAAATATTTCTCTGCTGGTCAGAGAAACATTTTCAAATCACACTTTAGTGTGCAAGACATGTAAGCCTTTTTCATTTATTATACATATTCAAATGTTAGCCACTCTTTGTGTTTACATATTAACACCCATTACTGATCACATGCAGTCGTTTAGGGGGTGGCGAGGTGCCTTTCTGATTAATGGCCTGTGCAGTTTCATCATTTGGGTGAATCTAATGTCTGGTACACCCCAAAATCTAAAATATTAGATATTATATTTTGCTTGATTGGATTTAAGCACCATTTAACATCCTTTATTATTTATTTTAATATTATTTTCATGACAATTAAGCTAATTTCCTCTATAGATACACATTACAGTCATGGATTTGGAGTTTCTTTTTTTCTTTTTTTGTAATTCTCATTATTCTTAATAATATTAAGTAATTTTATTACTTTATTATGATTATTCATTATTATTATTATAATATTATTTTATTTTTTATAATATTAAAATGTTATAATATTATTTTTGTAAATAATATTATAATTTTTAAGTAATTTCATATTTAATAAAAAAGTAATTTTCAATTTTCAGCTATAGTAGTTGTTTTTCAGTTTTTTTTTAATTAAATAAGCACTAATTTAAGACAGCACAACATATACTTGTTTACAACTGAAATAACGTATCTTCTTTTTATTTTTATTACAGATATGAGAATTGGTATAACAATTAAAATGTTTCATATAAAAATGTGTAATATAATAATGTCATCAAAATTGTCAACAAAAAAAAAATCTTAATGGTGCTAAAAATATTTAGTTTCTTTCAGATTGAAATATGACACTGTATAACACGTTCCAGACAGGTTTTTTGAGATTTTCCTTCACCCAGTTATCTGTTTACATCATAAGTCTTATATACTGGCACCTTGAGGGATATTTATTTTTAAACTAGATGTGTCATTTTCTATGCACATTGCAATGTTTTACAGACTCCTTTGTCACAAATTTGATGATTTAATATCAATTTTCCCTCTACATTTAATACTTATATAATGTATCAGGGTGAAATTAAAAGTCGGCGTCTATAATTATGACAAAGCAACCAATGTTTCTGAATCCATGTTTTGTTTAAAATGGCTTAATGCAGAGGTTACGCATACCTTCCTACACATACTTGTGGTTCTGTGTGTCTAAGTTGCTCTACCTTTAAAATAACTCTGTCGGCTTTATATTTACAACATTTCCTGTTTTGATTGTATCAAGCAAATCCTTTTTTATTGGTGAAATATTTATAATAAAAAGATCAATGCAATGAAAAACTTGTTATGCATCATTAATGTAATTGCATGTTGTGATTGCATTTTTATTTGTAAAATGAAATCATATGCAAATTTTGAAATGTTAATACACAAACATTTGCAAGCAGCATTTCATTTAACTACACTACTGTTCAAAAGTTTGGGGTCAGTAAAGCTTTTTTAAAGAAATTTTTATATTCGGCAAATATGTATTAATTATAAAAATGTGACGGAAAAAAACATTTACATTGTAAAAAACAAAAAAAAAACGTATGAACTTTTTAACCAGCAAAGATTCCTGTAAAAAGGATTAATGGTTTCCACAAACATATTAAACAGCACAACTGTTTTCAGTCTTCGAAATATGAACTATTTGAAATAAGAGTGATTTCTGATGGACTGGAGTAAGGATGCTCGAAATTCAGCTTTGCATCACAAGAATGAATTACATTTTTAAATATATTTATGTAGCCTATTCTAAAAATATAAATCGATTTTTGATCAAAGTGAGAATGCGAGGAATCAAAATCTCACCAAACTTTTGAATGGTAGTGTATATTGCATTCACGTCTAGCCCAACGTTTCATCATTTTTTTAAACTGGTATTTGTACCATCACTGATTTAATCATGATTACGATTACAATACAGATGCTTTATTTGAATCAAGTATTCTGAATACACTCATATGATCTCATATGATGATAATAATCCCTGTGCAGATGCAAATGCAAATGCCGTGGTGCTTGGCTTGTTATGTTCTCCATGGGTGAATATGTAATTCACAGGACGCAGCCGCTTGGTCTTAGTGGGATTCCTTTTCTCTCTGAACAGTTTCTTAACCAGCCTGGGCTGCCAAAACTGCATCGACTACTTCACGTCACAGGGACTCCAGAGTGTCTACCACCTTCAGACTCTTTCCATGGAGGTAAACCAACAGTTCAGGCAATACCCTCTTTCATTATTGGGTCATTCATGTTTTATCCTGTTCTCCATTCATTTTTTCCCGTAGGGATTTTTTAAAAAGTCGCTAAAAGTTAAAAGCTATGAACAGTGCTGGGTAGTAATGTAGTCTGGATTACGTAATTGTTTAATGGATTACATATTATTCACATAATGGCAGTAAATTATTCAAAATGTATTGATTCTCCTTAATTCTTTTTTTTCTTTCGTTGAAATTTTCCCTTCTAAATTAACCTACCACTTATACACATTTTGGCAAACCCTACTGTAATGTAATGTTTAATGCATTTCATGATGTTGATAACAAAGAATGGATTTTTTTTATCAATATGGTACACAATAATCCCATTTAAGTCCATAATAAACGAATTAGGTCAAAAGTAATCTAAAAGTAATACAAAAAATGTCCACATGAACTAATATGTGTAATTCAGATTATGTTACTAACACATGTAATTTGTAAATGGACTACAGTTTGTAAGTAATCTACCCATCACTGGCTATGAACTAAACCAATCAGTTACGAGGAGAATAACAACATTACGAACTTTATTTTGAAGCAAAAATCCAAATTTGAAACTAAAAAGTGTTTGAAATAAAAAAAAATAAACGTCAGATATACAAGATTGTGCTTAATGGTTTTAGTGAAGGAAATGAACTACAATCTCATTAAGCATTGCATATAACATAACTGAATAAAAAAGTATGGTAAAATACTCATTTAAACTTGGTAATTATATCTATAAAAACAGCATATTTTAAGTTTATTGCAAAACACACACACACAAACACATATGTATACATACAAACTAGTGGTTTCAAACGATTAATCGCGATTAATCACATCCAAAATAAAAGTTTTTGTTTACAGAATACATGTGTGTGTACTGTGTATATTTATTATGTGTATATAAATAAACACACACACACACACATGTATGCATATATTTTGAAAATATTTGCATGTATTTACATGTGTATATATTTATATTCGTATAATTTATATTATTTATAAATATATTTCATATATAAACATAACATATTTTTCTTAAATATATTCATGTATGTGTGAGTGTATTTATATATACATAATAAATATACACAGTACACACGCATGTATTCTGTAAACAAAAACTTTTATTTTGGATGCGATTAATCGCGATTAATCGTTTGACAGCTCTAATACAAATACAAACTAGGTTCCATGTTTTATGGGTTCGTTCCATAGGCGTAATGGTTTTTCTACTGTACAAACTGTATTTCTATCCCCTTACCCTAAACCCAACCCCTTTACACAAAACGTTTTCAGATTTTTTTTTTTTTTTCAAAAAACATAATTCTGTATGATTTATAAGCTGTTTTCCTCATGGGGGCCAATGAAATGTCCCCACGTGGTATTGCTATCCTAGGAATGATTCACCAAGGCCGTTTTATTCTACCATGAAATAGTAGCGTGGCCTTCACTGTAAGACGCACTCTTGTGTTCCTCAGGACCTTGGGGCACTGAGGATCCCTGAGCAGTTCCGGCTGGCGATCTGGAGGGGCCTGCAGGACATGAAGCAGGGCCACGATTACGGCCAGCAGCTCATCCGCTCCGGCAGTAACATGGCCACCATGGCCCTCGGCGCCGGAGGAGAGCTGCAGCGGCAGCGCGTCATGGAGGCCGTGCACTTCAGAGTGCGTCACACCATCACCATCCCCAACCGCAGCGCCCCCACAGGAGCAGAGGAGTGGGCTGACTTCGGCTTCGACATGCCCGACTGCAGGTTACACAAGCACTCCATTAAGGAGGAGTTCGCAGAAAGTGACGTCCACTGAGAAGGGCCGCGCATCCATCGCTTTCCATGCATTGTCCGTATTGATTTCTTTAAACTGCGATGGACAGTTTGCATTTCCATGTAGTAGCACTTCCATATTTGACAAAAAGGGATTTGAGGAGCTTTTATGAAGACCAGGGTTCAAATGAATAATTTTATTTAATTGATTATCATTTGTGGCCTTATGCTAATATCACATCACACAAAAAATTATCCATTAGCTAAAACGAATAATATTATTAGGACGCAGTTATGAAAAGCAGTGTATGATTTCAGAACATTGCCTTATTAATTTCGGCTCGGTGTAAATAATAATTGTGCAGTCATGTATTGAATAACGTGTGAAGTAATGCCCGTATATCGAGTGGATGCTCGACCCACAAAATCATACTTTATGTTTACTTATTTTGAAAAGCGCAGGTTTCTCGAAGCCAGACATGTACAACTAGATCAAAAGGCATTCTGTATTTGAATTATTTTCTCATTATAAGTTATACCTATAATTAGTTAATTTTTCATCAAAGTTTTACAATAATATTGATGAAAACAACACCATAAAAGTAAATTTAATTTTTTTTTAATTATTAGCATTTTTATTTAAACTAAGACATTTTTTGAAGTGGTGCTTTACACTGCAACAATTTTTTATTTTATGAATTATGTGTTAAGTATTATGTTATTGACAGGGAGACACTGGATCATCATAAGGGTTGTCAGAATTGTAAAGTTTTGTGGTATTAGCCTTGCAGGACAAGGTTTTATTTATCATGCTGTACTGATATAATATCTATTTTTTCCTTTAGCATATGTAATCACTGTCTTGTTAGTTTGTTTTAAATGTCTCTAAATGTATTATGTTTTTATGTAAAAGTAAAATTATTGTAAAATTACAAGGTATTAAGGTGGCATTTCATCCCCAAATTTCATATATATATATATATATATATATATATATATATATATATATACACACATTATGATTTTATGATTGTTACATTATGATTTTATTTTATGAGCATGGGCATTTCGGCATTTCATCCCCAAATTTCATATATATATATATATATATATATATATATATATATATATATATATATATATATACACACATTATGATTTTATGATTGTTACATTATGATTTTATTTTATGAGAACGTGAATGCATTTAAAAAAGGAAATGTATTAAATATATTTTTTAAAAATCAACAAAGCACAACAAATACGAATTTTGGAATAAATGTGCTAAATTGTAAACAAAAAAATTATCAAAATATTATTTAATTTTTTTATTTTGGGGCATAGTTAGACATAGTTTTTGTTCTTTTGTGTTGAAGAGGTGAAACTCTCAAAATGATGTACTGTTTCAAAACCTAACTCCACTTTAATATCACTTTTAATATTGCTAGTACTAAGACGATGACAAAGTTTGAAGTACTTTTGTTCAGCAGACCCAACACAATTATTTTTGTCTGGTTTTCCAAGCCTTGTTCAAGTGAAAGCTACTAGAGGAAAGTGTTTCAGACAGAGCTGTCATCCAGGAACAGTGTCTTCTGTGGTATATAAGAAATGTATTTATATTTCTTACACCCATAAAGTCTGTGTATGAAACTGAACTAGGGGTCGTCTTGAACATTAATGATTTGGTGGATTGTATGTAGTCAGAGGTACATTTGTCACCTTTATTTAACAAGCAAATGCATTTGTAAATAACTAGTGTTACCCGTATAACTCCTTGTTGTTCGTGTGATAAGAACAGCATATTTCAGACTGAGTCCCAGGAGGTTAATTGAGGAAATACTGCTGATTTAAATTGGCTGTGATGGTGAAATACCATCATATAGATCAAAGCACTTTATGGCTTTAGGATATTGTAAACAATGTTATATTCACAGTTAATATCAGTCAGTATTATGTCATGCTGTGTCATTTATACAGATTTTAGAAATGTTTTTAAGAGTTATCTTCTGTTTTCATTAAAGAGCTGTAACGCTGTTTCTTTTTTTATATTTCCACGTTTGAATGCTGTAACGTGATTTCTTTTTCAAATAAATACTAAAGTGTGCAAAATAAGGGTGTTTTAATACAAGATCAGTAACTGTTGAGGATGTTTAAGAATAAGAATGTGTCTGTTGTCTGGTCTCTGCTGGATTTCAGGCATTCTGAGCATGTGATTTCAGATGTCACATAAGTCACACCTATTTAGTATCAAGTTGAGATGACACTTTATTACTTATTGTTCGAGACTTTTGCGGGTTCTGAATTAAGAATAAAGCCCCGTTCACACCAGGAGCGATAATTATAAAGATAACTATATTAGAGTCACTGTTGCCAACTCTCGCAAGACAAATAAGCAACCGCTGCTTCAAAAACAAGCCCAATTTTTTTGATGATTTATTATTATCAATATTATCAATTATTTATTATCAATAAATGAGCCTGCAACATATTAAACTGAAAACACTTTTTTATCTGAAAAGCAAAAACAAGCTATTTTACAAAAATCAGCAAAATGCAACAACAATGGGAATAAAACTCATCTCCAGTCACCTGTGTGCAGAATAGGATTGGAGAGATGGAAAAGGAGAAAAACACAAGAGCTTCAAAGGGGAGCTGTAACATAGCCACATAATTATAGCCTAATAAAATATAGGCTATTCGAACCATATTTGCATCTCAATAAATTAGAATGTCGTGGAAGAGTTCATTTCAGTAATTCAACTCAAATTGTGAAACTCGTGTATTAAATAAATTCAATGCACACAGACTGAAGTAGTTTAAGTCTTTGGTTCTTTTAATTGTGATGATCTATCTCAACAAATTAGAATATGGTGACATGCCAATCAGCTAATCAACTCAAAACACCTGCAAAGGTTTCCTGAGCCTTCAAAATGGTCTCTCAGTTTGGTTCACTAGGCTACACAATCATGGGGAAGACTGCTGATCTGACAGTTGTCCAGAAGACAATCATTGACACCCTTCACAAGGAGGGTAAGCCACAAACATTCATTGCCAAAGAAGCTGGCTGTTCACAGAGTGCTGTATCCAAGCATGTTAAATGAAAGTTGAGTGGAAGGAAAAAGTGTGGAAGAAAAAGATACACAACC